TCCATGATCTTTATCGTTTTTGATTTTATATTTAAGTCTTTGATCCATTTTGAGTTAGTTTTTGTGCATGGTGGGAAGTATGGGTCTTGTTTCAGTTTTTTGCAGACGGATATCCAGTTATGCCAGCACCATTTGTTAAAGAGACTGTCTTTTCCCCAGTTAATGGACTTTGGGCCTTTGTCAAATATCAGCTGTTGATAGGTGGGTGAATTTATGCCTGGATTCTCAATTCTGTTCCATTGGTCTGTGTATCTGTTGTTGTACCAGAACCAGGCTGTTTTGACTACTGTGGAGGTATAATAGTTTCTAAAATCAGGTAGTGTGAGGCCTCCCACTTTGTTCTTCTTCTTGAGTAATGCTTTAGTTGTTCGGGGCCTCTTTCCTTTCCATATGAAGTTGGTGATTTTTTTCTCTATCTCGTTAAAAAATGCCGTTGGAATTTGGATCGGGATTGCATTGTATCTGTAGATGGCTTTGGGTAGAATTGACATTTTCACCATGTCGAGTCTTCCTATCCATGAGCAAGGTATCTTTTTTCACTTAGGTAGGTCTCTTCTGGTTTCTTGCAGTAGTGTCTTGTACTTTTCATTGTATAGGTCTTTTACATGTCTGGTTAGATCTATTCCTAAGTATTTTATCTTCTTGGGGGCTATTGTAAATGGTGTTGATTTGATGATTTCCTCTTTGAGGTTCTCTTTGTTGGTGTAAAGGAATCCAAGTGATTTTTGTATGTTTATCTTGTGTCCTGAAACTTTGCTGAAATCTTCTATTAGTTCCAGTAGTTTCCTTGTGGATTCTTCGGGGTTTTCTGTGTATAAGATCATATCATCTGGAAAGAGATACTTTGACTTTTTCCCTACCAATTTGGATGCCCTTTATTTCTTTTTCTAGCCTAATTGCTCTGGCTAGGACCTCTGGCATGCTGTTGAATAAGAGTGGTGATAAAGGGCATCCTTGTCTGGTTCCCTGTTCTCAAGGGGAATGCTTTCAAAGTCTCTCCATTTAGGATGATGTTGGCTGTTGACTTTGTATGAATGCTGTTAATTATATTGAGGAATTTCCCTTCTATTCCTATTTTGTTGAGAGTTTTTATCATGAATTGGTGTTGGACTTTGTCAAATGCCTTTTCTGCATCAATTGATAAGATCATGTGGTTCTTGTCTTTTATTTATGTGATGGATTACATTAATGAAAACATTTTTCATAAGTCCAGTTTACATCTGTCAATATACACACAAGGCTAAAACTCTATGCTGATTTACTTTTTGAAACATTTCCACTTGGAGCTGTCATTATTACCCAATTACAATGACGCTACTGTTGTTTTCATTGATGCCATGTTTTTATAGTCATTGATTTTGTCACTTTCTGGTGTTTTAGCTACAGTATTGTGGTATTTGTATTTGTGAATCTGTATCAGTAACTTTTTTGAGAATGAAGTAGTGATTAAAGGAAAAGAAAAAGTGATATACAGGAATAAAGATTTTCGAGTAACAGTACAGAAAACATTACTAAGGATTCTTTATGGTCTAGTATGGGAAGAGGTCCATTGGGAGGGTAGTGACACCGTGAGTTACTGCACTGGGTAACACCAACCCTAGTGACGCTGCTGAGTCACAGACTTGTCCTTCATGCACAAATTATTGTTTGTGATGGAAATCTTTATAATAATACCATGTCTACATCTTAAGGCAGGTTTTGTTGAACTCTTATCTCGCCTTGATAACTATTTTATTCAACAGTATTTACTGTAATACATTGTAGATATCAAGGTAGACTTTGAGAACAACTCCAGAAATCATCCTGAAACTTAACTTCTTAGAGGGGAGAAAAAAACACTGATTATCAGCCTTTTAAAAAATGGCTGAATCAAAAGATGAACGAATCAAAGGCAAAAGGCAACCCTTCTCTAGCCTGTGTTTTAGCTTTCTGAAAAATCGTAATAATTTGCTGTTAGCTTCATTCTTATTGGCAGCATTCAAAATGTACATGTTATTTCCATACTTGAGAGCACATTTCTGTCGTCACCCGCAATATCCTTAACAGTTATTAATTTAAATTATAAAGCAATATTTAACACATACAAATGATATGAAGAATAGTGAATTAATGCCCATGTACTTACTACCCAGCTTACTAAGTCAAGCTTTCCAACACAGTTAATATTCCTTTGTGTGTCCACCCCTTCTCCACTGCTTCTCCCTCTTCCTTTCCAGAGGATAGGGTTTCTTTCCCATGCAGTTCTTATGTTTACACTGCATATGAATATATCCCTAAAAATAGATAGTATTATTTTGCAGAATCTTAATTTTGATGTAAATGATGACATGCTGTAGGTATTTTTGGCCATTTGTTTTTGTTTTTTTCCCCTTACTATTTTTTTCTCTCTCTCTTTTTTTTTTTTTTTACAGTCATTCAGTCCCCTCTTAGAGTATGTTGTTGCTGGGTGCCATTGAGTTGGTACCAACTCATAGCAACCCTATGTACAACAGAACAAAACACTGCCCAGTCATGAGCCATCCTCACAATCGTTGCTATGCCTGAGCCCATTGTTGCAGCCACTGTGTCAGTCCATCTCATTGAGGGTCTTTCTCTCCTTCTCTGACCCTCTACTTTACCAGGCATATCTCTATAAATTTCCCTATTCAGAACATTTCATATGAATGGAATCACACAATATGTGGTCTTTTGTGACTAGCTTCTTTCACTTAGCGTAATGTTTTCAAGGTTCATCCATGTTGTATCATCTATTAGTACTTTCTTTTTTTTTTTTTGCCAAATCGTATTCTGTTGTGTGGATATACCACATCTTATTTATCATTCATCGATTGATGGACATTTAGATTGTTCCCAGTTTTTGACTATTATGAATAATGCTGCTGTGAATATTCATATACAAGTTTTTGTGTGGACATATGCTTTTATGTCTCTTGGGTACATACCTAGGAGTAGAATGGCTGGGTCATACAATAATTCCATATTTAACCTTTTGAGGAATTGCCAGACTGTTTGCCAAAGTGGCTTCCCCCATGTTACATTCCGGCCAGCAGTGTATGAGAGTTCCTGTTTCTCCACATCCTTGCCAACACTTGCTATTTTTTTCATTTTGATTATAGTCATCTTAGTAAGTGGGTGCGAAATGGTATCTCATTGTGGTTTCAGTTTGCATGTTCCTGATGGCCAATGATGTTGAGCATGTTTTCAAGTGCTTACTGTTCATTTTTATATCTTCTTTGGAGAAATGTCTGTTCATATCCTTTGCTCATTTTTTAATTGGGTTCTTTGTCTTTTTATTACTGATTTAAGAGTTTTTTTCCTATATTCTGTAGACAAGTCCCTCATCAGGTATATGTGTTTCAGATGTTTTCTCCTGTTTATTGTAGGTTGTCTTTTCACATTCTTGATGGCATCCTTTGAAGCACAAAAGTATTTTATTTAGATGAAGTCCACTTTTTCTTTTTATTGTTGCTTGTGCTTTTGGTGTCATAATTAAGAAACCATTGCCTGATTCATGGTCGTGAAAATTTACTACTCTGTTTTCTTCCAAGAGTTACATTTAGGTTAAATTAACTCCCTTTTGAGTTAATTTTTTTATGGTACGAGGTAGAGAATCCAGCTTCTTTGGTTTACATGTGGATGTCCAGTTGTCTCAACCGCATCTGTTGAAAACATTGTTCTTTCCTCTGTTGAATTTCCTTCTCACCCTTGTTGAAAATCAATTGATTGCAAATGTGAGGGTTTATATGTCAGCCCTCCTGCCAGGACCACCCTATCTTGATTAGAGTTAGTATACTTTAAAAGGCTGTAACTTCTTCATTTAATAGAAAACATTTTTGTTGTCATATTATCAGTTCACAACTTTTTGTAAACCTTCGTTAATGCTTGATTGTTGAATTCCAGGTAGGCACAGCATTAAAACTCTCTCTCTTTAGGACTTCTACTCTTATTACTGTTTGGGGCCTGAATAAGCAAATGTATTATTAAGTCTCTTAGGAATAGCTTATCCATAAGGGAACACTGGAAGGCAAAGAAATGTTCTTTTGTTTTGTTTTTTTTAATGTTTGAAGATGAATTCTTCAGATAAAATAATGTTATTAGCTTATATTTATTGATTATTTGCTATGTACCAGCCATTGTTCTAACTACTTAAGTGTTAAGTCCTTTATTGTTCTCACAACCTTTTCAAGCAGATGCTGTTATTATCGTAGTGTGTATACTAGGAAACTGAGACAAAAAGAAGTTAGATAACTTGCCCAAGGTGACATGGCCGGTAAATGACGGCCCTGGCCATCTGTGTGTTTAAGCTTCTAGCATTGCATCTTCCACTCTTGCTGCTTCTGTTTGCTCTCCTTTTCCTTCTGTTTTTCTTGTCGTTTCCTTCAGCTGTCCCTGCTTTTGTTTTCTTCTGTCAAGTATAGCATCTTACATCACCTTCAGCCCGTGATAGCATTTCTTTTGGTCTGCAAACTTAAAAACCCCATCACTTATTTCACTAGTGTCTGTGTCTTCTGCTCTTCTTGATGGTACTTCTGTGGTTTCCTTTTTTACTTATGTTTTCAGACGGTCTCACTGACTAGTGTGTCTAGTCAGATCTCCCTCAGAATCTACCTACCTCTGACCTCCAGTCCACCCCTCTAGGCCAGGCCTCCATCCAGTTTCTCCGCGTCGTCATTTGCCTCCCTCCAGTTCATTCTCCACCAAGCTCTAAGTCTGCTCAGTACTGTACCCTGCTGAAAGTCCTTCAGTGACTTCCTAGTGACTTCCCTGTGGGTGAGTGTGCCATCTCCTGACTCCCTCGTGCACTGGGCCCCACCCTTGTTTGGCCACCAGTGCTTTTCACTTTCATGATAAAGCCATCTTCTCCCTTTCCTTTGGATTTTTAAACATGCTGTTTCTTTTGTTTAGACTATTCCCTTTTCCAAACACCTTCCCCCAACTGTTAATCATCTTTCACACCTAAGATGGGACAACACTTCATTGTGAAGCCTTCTCCTTCTGTAGGTTGCCCTTTCTATAGGTTCTCATAGAGTTTGCCTCATTTTGTTGTTGTCGCTTCTCACCCAGAAGGCAAGCTTTAGAAGGATAGAAATGGAACTATTTCACTTTTTCCATAACCAGCAGGCATACTTTCTGACGTGTGCATGGTAGGCACTCAGTAAGTATTTAACTTTTGAGACTGGGACATTTGAGTGCTTACGTGACTATGGTTGTTTTGTGTCGCCGTTCTGTTAATTACTACCTTATAAAAACATTACTCTTAAGTACAGGAAAAAAACTTATTTAATGCATTTCATGCTTACAGATAATATTATTTTGGTTCTGACCATGGAGAAAATTGATTACTAGAGTTATTTAAAATATTTAAGTACATTTATTTCCTTTAGTTACAGCCAAGTTCGACTTCTGATTCTGTGGATCAACTGCTAAACAAAAACAGAGAGGGAGAAAAATCAAGAGATTTGATCAAAGACAAAATTGAACCAAGTACTAAGGATTCTTTCATTGAGAATAGCAGCAGCAACTGCACCAGTGGCAGCAGCAAGCCCAACAGCCCCAGTATTTCCCCCTCGATACTCAGTAACTCAGAGCACAAGAGAGGACCAGAGGTCACGTCCCAAGGGGTTCAGACTTCCAGTCCAGGATGTAAACCAGAGAAGGATGATAAGGAGGAGAAGAAAGATGCAGCTGAGTGAGTAAACCTGGAATTTAGCACATCCTGTTACTTCATTAACTTTTCTTTAAGGTGTTCAAGTCTTTCCAACCTAAGAAGCTATCTGGCCTTTTAGGCTGCTTTATAAGCAGCCCTCAGTTGACACAAACAACTGGTCTGAACAAATGTCCTCGGAAGTATATTAAGTCAGTGCACCTTGCATTATCTCTCCTTCTCTTTTTGCCCCAGTTTTTGCACCCCAGGGCAAAAACACTAGGCCTGAATTAAGAAAGGCTTTTTCGATAAGTACACGGGGCTTTGGGAAGTGACTGGCTTTTGGGACCTATCCCCCTGGATCTTGCTGTGTTGCTAGGACTTAGAACTGCCACTGCCAGTAAGAAAGAGAAGTATCTGATGTCCCTACTGGGAATTCAAAGTGGTTTTTATCAGAAATGCTGTTTCAGTTAATGGTTAGATTTGTTAAGATAGACTTGATGCTGTACATCGGTATATTATCAATTTTATGGACTTTTGTGGGCTAGTCTCAGAAGCTAACTATCATTTTATTTGTGTATGTCGGTTTCCAAACAACCCAGTTACAGATGAACTTTTAGAACTCAGCTTGTTGATAAGTTGAGGACAACTTATTCTTGATTTGAGGCAAAAATTTTAGTAGAGCTATGGTTTTTCCCAAGGTATGTCATGTAGAAAACACCTTGTCACATTAAAAAATAGTACATGCTAGAGAACCTGTGTGAAGGACTGGTTCTGGGGATGCTTTGTCCAGGTGTGCTGTCTTTTTCAGTTCAGGTGTTTGTTGATTGCCTTTGGGAGAAACAGTTGCATAGTATGCACCTTTTTTTTCTTTTTTTTTAACTATCCTTTTCTGGCCACTTTTCTTTATCAGATTAAGGAGTGGGAGATATAGGTGTGTTTTGTGTTTTCTTCTTTTTTAGTAAAGAGGATTAATGCTCTTCTAGTGTGAGTTGTTTAAATCTGATGGTTAGCAGTTTTTAAGAAATTATCAAGTATGGAAGATTTTAGAGAAACGTAAGTTCCATGCAGATTTCACTGCCCTGTGTGTTTCTTTCTTGTTTAGGCAAGTTAGGAAATCCACACTGAATCCCAATGCAAAGGAGTTCAACCCTCGTTCCTTTTCTCAGGTAAGTTTGTTACTCTATTTGAGCTAATACAGTCTCTGAAAAAAATCGATTTATGATTAGTAGTAAATTCCTTCTTCCATACCTGCCCTCTAAATTCAGTTGTATGCTAAAACAACTTTTAGTTAAGTTCTTTTTTCTTACATGGTCATTAATGCATATTTTTGAGTCATACAAAAGATCCTTGTTTTGTTATCAGTTAGATGTGATCTTGGGCAAATCTTCGCATGTGAAGAAGGTTGGCTAGCTAGACTCTCAGACTCGTAGATAAACTGTTATCAGTATTCTGAATTTGTAAGAAGATATTTATTTTTGAATTATTTTGAACACTTTATCTAGTTCCTTAAAAGTTACTACCGCTGTTTTTAATAAAAATATTGATTCATTGGCAAAGTTTAACTTTCTACCAAACCAGTTTTCCTTTTATTTGAAACATGTGGAAGTTTATTTTCTATAAGCTTTTATCATTGAAAGGGACGAGTTAAAAGCAAGTGAAAAGTAAAATGATTGGGAAAACCAGTCTTCAAATTGCAGTAATAGTTAACTTTTCACCTTAAGATGTTTGAGTTCTGTTTATATTTTTATAGCCAAAGCCTTCTACCACCCCAACTTCGCCTCGGCCTCAAGCACAACCGAGCCCGTCTATGGTGGGTCACCAGCAGCCAACTCCAGTTTATACTCAGCCCGTTTGTTTTGCACCAAACATGATGTATCCAGTCCCAGTGAGCCCAGGCGTGCAAGTAAGTCATAGAGTTTGATTTTTACCGAGTACTCTTCAGGTGTGCAGTGACTGAGGCAGTGATGGTATTTGAAAGGGGGTGGCATGTGGTGGTGTGGTGTATTACAGGTATAAGGACATAAATCTGAGAATGTTTCCTGGTGAAGAGCCATATGAGGAAATTGATTTAGATTTACTGAAGTTTGGAGTTTGTCCTTTTAGCTATGGGTATAATTTTTCTTTTTTTAATGATTATTAGAGTGTCAGGAAAGCTTCTCAGAGTTAGCTCTCTAGTAGTGAATGATAGAAGAATATATTCTTATTATGATAAGAACCTAATCTTCATTTTTTTTTACTTTTAACTCCCTCAAGCCTTTATACCCAATACCCATGACGCCCATGCCAGTGAACCAAGCCAAGACATATAGAGCAGGTAAAGGTGAGAATAATCCTGCCCGTGTTTGCTTGTAGTCTGCATGCTGCATGAATTAAGTAACTCAACTTAAAGTGAATGAATATTTGTAGGTCATCTTCTTTGACTTTTGATGAGGCTGTGCATTGTCTTCTGAGGACCAACATTACTTAAGGATCCATGTGCACTTTTATGAACAAAAACAGGAGAAATGCTCATCAGTTGGACAGTTAAAGGAGCCCTAGTGGTGCAGTGGTTAAGCCCTCCATTGCTAACTGAAAGGTCGGCGGTTCAAACCCACCAGCTGCTTCACAGGAGAAAGATGTGGCAGTCTGCTTCCGTAAAGATTACAGCCTTGGAAACCCTATGGGGCAGTTCTTCTCTGTCTTGTAGGGTCGCTCTGACTCGAAATCGACTCCATGGCAGTGGGTTGTGTACCAGTTAAGCTATCCATGTCCTCTTCAAAAAGAATGATTGAATTCTGAGATTTTCGGCGTTAAATTTAAAAGGTTTGCTAGATTAATTTACCAGATTGGCGACCTTCTTATTTTATACTAACGTACAGTTCTTTTCCCAAAGTCTAGATTGTCTTTTGAAGCAGAGAGCAACTCCAGAAACCAATGTCAGAATCCTATTAGAGGGATGTTTCCTCATCTATAAAATGAGGGAGTTATATGATCTAGTATTCTATACTTGTGTAATTAAAGAGCCTTCATAGAAAAAAACACGTATTTACCTTAAAAGGAAGTCTTTTAGTATTGAAAAATGCCCAAGAATTCCTTTTTACTATCCAGTTAATTGATAGCAATTAATTACTATCATTTTATTGAGAAACAATAAAAAATAGGGTGATTTATGTATTTTTTTAAAAGGCACTTCTCAAAGCCTAATAATACTCTTCTGACATAAAAATTAGAACTTTTTCCATTGTTAGATTAATAAGCTTTCTTACTAGTTGGAGTTACTGTGATTTTGTGGGTATTCATAATGAAAATGCTTACTCTTTTTTTTTTAGTATATACAATATCCTATAACTTTGCTGTAGAACACTTGAACCTGTTGATGAAAGAACTCTACCTGAGATAATTAGTTATAGAATTAAGTTTATTGTGAGGGCCTGAAAAAGTTCAGGGAAGAAAAGTTTCTCTTAGTGCCATTTGGAGTGAGTGTTCAGTATTCAGGTGTTCATATATTACTACCTGGTTTTGCTGTCTTCAGTGCTTACTTAAAACCATGCAGTGGGGACATTTTTGTGTTAAAATGTGAAAGATCATCACAGTGAAAGCAAGCACTACAGTGTAGCTCTCTGACCTGAGGATAAGATGCAGTTTAACTTCAGAAGGCACTGTCATTTTAATAGAGGAGAAACGATGTACTCTGAGCGTACCTCAGGCAGTTTTACATAGGCATATCTAACAGGACAGAACAGGCACATTGCGAAGAATTTCACCTGTGAACATGTGCTATCCTAACAAGCTGGGAAGTGAGAGGGTATTTGCTTTGCCTATAATTCAGATTCAGGGATTATCAAGATTTTGCCGTTTGCCTTTTCTGTGCTCTTTCCTTTGCTGAAGTATTTAAAATAAATCCCAGACATCATATCATTTCATTCCTTCATACTCAGTATTGTCTTTTAAAAATACAGACATTTGTCTTAGGTAGCCAGAGTGCTGTTATCACACTTTACAAACTGAACAGTAATCCCATGGTATCGTCTAATAACCACACATAATGAAATTGCCCTGATTGAGTCAAGAATATAGTTTTACAAGATCTACACAGGTTGTGTAGTATATCCCACATTCTAAATTTGTCTGTTTGCTTTGTGTCATTGATTCGATTCAGGTTCAGCGTTTTTGGAGGGGAAGTAGAACAGGAATGCTTAGTAGATGGTCCTGTGTGCTTTCTGTTGCATCACGTCGGGAGGCACACAACATTGGGGCTTGCTTAGTTATGGTCAGATGGATTAATCGGCTCAGATGAGGATAGCCTGATCCCCCATTATAAAGTTTTCTATTGATTTTTCAACTAATTCATTGATGATTGATGCTTGATACCATTATTTCGTTAGGGCTGTGGTTCTCAAATTTTAGCGTGCAGCAGAATCACTTAGGGGATTTGTTAGAACATAGATTGCTTGGTCTCAGCCCCAGAGTTTCTCATGCAGTAGGTTTGGGGTATAGCCTGAGAATTTACATTTCTAGTACAATTTATAACCAGTTTGTTCCCTGATGATGCTGTTGCTGCTGGTCTGGGACCATACTGTGTTTTTTTGTTTTTAATTGTGCTTTAGGTGAAACTGTACAGAGCAGATTAGTTTCTCATTCAATAGTTAAATACACAAATTGTTTTGTGACATTGGTTGCAATCCCTGCAATGTGTCAACACTCTCCCCTTCCACACCCCAATTCCCCGTTTCCGTCCATCCATTATTCCTGTCCCTTCCTGCCTTCTCGTCATTGCTTTTGGGCAGGTGTTGCCCTTTGATGTCATATACATGATTGAACTAAGAAGCACATTCCTCATGTGTGTTAATGTTTGTTTTATAGACATGTCTAATCTTTGGTTGGAAACCCTGGTGGCATAGTGGTTAAGAGCTATGGCTGCTAACCAAAAGTTCAGCAGTTCCAATCCACCAGGCGCTTCTTGGAAACACTGTGGAGCAGCTCTACTCTGTCCTGTAGGGGTTCTATGAGTCAGAATCGACTCGACGGCAGTGGGTTTGGTTTGTTTTTTTTTTTTAATCTTTGGTTGAAGTGTGCACTTTAGGAGTGGCTTCAGTTCTGGGTTAAAAGGGTGTCCAGGAGCCATGGGTTCTTCCAGTCTCTGTCAGACCAGTAAGTCTGGTCTTTTTCTTATAAATTTGAATTTTGTTTTACATTTTTCTCCTGCTCTGTGGGACCATACTTTGAAAACCACTGCAATAGGGTTTTAAAAATGATGATTTCTGAATTCCTAGCCTTTTTTCCTGCATTTACTAGTTAGAATCGTTCTATAAGGGACTTTCCTTTTCAACTAGGGCTGTTTGGGTATTCCGAAATAGCTTGTACAGGAAAGGAAGAATATTTGTTTAATTCTTTGTATGCCCATTTTCAGAGTGAGTTATTGGTGCCTTTGTTATTTCCAGTAGCATCCAGTGAAGTTTTTTTTCTTTTAAGGATATCCCCCTCTCTCCTCTAATATTATTGTGGTAAAATATATATAATAAAACATTTGCCATGTTAACCATTTTTAAGTGTACAAATTCAGCGACGTTAATTATATTAACTATGTTGTGCTACCATTACCACCGTCCATTTCCAGAAGTTTTTCATCACCCCAAACAGAAACTCAGTACCCTGTAAGCAGTAACGCCCCACTTCTCCTAGTCACTGGTAACCACTAATAAACTTTGGTCTCTATGTATTTGCCGATTCTAGATATTTCATGTAAGTGGGATCATACAATATTTGACCTTTCGTGACTAATTTGTTTCACTCAGCATAATGTTTTCAAGGTTCATCCCATTTGTAGCATGTATCAGATCTTCATTCCTTTTTCTGACTGAAAAATATTCCATTGTATGTATATGCCTGTGGTTTTTGTTTATTCATTCGTTTCTTGATGGGCACTTAGGTTCTTTCCACCTTTTGGCTGTTGTGAATAATGGCTGCAGTGAACTTTGGTGGACAAGTGTCAGTTTGAGTTCCACCTTCTAAGTCTTTGGGGTATATACCTGCGAGTGGAATTGCTGGGTCATATGGTCATTCTGTGTTTAACTTTTTGAGGAGCTCTTTCTTCTATCTATTTTAAAAATATTATGAATGCATGGATTTCTATATATTCAGGTATCATTTTGCTGCTCCAATTGTCTCATCTTTGGTCAATGGAACCCCTTCCAGCTGGCTCCTGTGTCCTTGTGACAAACCAAAAAAGATCCAAACCCGGTGCCGTCGAGTTGGTTTCAACTCATAGTGACCCTATAGTACAGAAAAGCACTGCACCGTAGGGTTTCCAAGGAGCAGCTGGTGGATTTGAACTGCTGACCTTTTATTTGGCAGCCAGGTTGTGTCCTTGTGGCACTACTCATTTATCTTTGACAGTTTCCTTCCTTTCTGCTACAGATAAGCTGTCTCAGGCTAATCATTTTCTAACTCCTTACCTGTGTCAGTTATTCATCCAAGGAACCCAGATTCCTTTTGCTGGGGAATGGTATTTAGTAACCATTATCTGGGTCATTGGCTCTGCTGTTTGCTGTTGCATTATTAGTTCTAGGCCTTTTCAGTGAACAAAATTAAGGAATATCACTTTTTTCCTTTTCAAAAATACAGAAATCATAATGTTTCCAACTCAGATTAACATTGCAAGATTTGTACTATGACTTAACGCTTGCATCTCTTACTGTCTTACACTGAAAAATCTTGGTTACTGAAATTTTTTATCTGTCACATAACAAATTATCCCCAAAACTTAGCAGCCTAACACAACAAGCATTTGTTATTTCACACAGTTTCCGAGGATTAGGAGTCCGGGAGGGGCTTAGCTGGGCAGTTCTGCCTGAGGGTTTCATGAAGTTGTAGATATCTGTTGGCGAAGGCTACAGTCATCTGAAGGTTAACTGGGGCTGGAGGATCTGCTTTCAAAGTCACTCACCACCATTGGCAGGAGGCTGGATTCCTGGCCACTTGGGCTTCTCCATAGCGCTTTTTATGATGTGACATCTGACTTCACCCAAAGTACTCAGAGAGAGACTGACCTGAACAGAAGCTGCAGTGTGTTTTATAACCTAATCTCAGAAGTGGCTCACCATGACTTCTGACATACACCATGTGGAGGGGACTACAGAGGTGTTAGTACCAAGAGGTGTGGTCATTGGAGCCATCTTAGAGCTTGGTTTATTTATACGTTTCCTATAATTTGCATGGGGCCCTGGTGGCTCAGTCATTAAGCGTTTGGCTGCTAACCAAAAGGTCGGCAGTTCGAATCCACCAGTCACTCCTTGGAAACCCTATGAGCAGTTCTACTCTGTCGTATAGGGTCGCTATGAG